ACTGGATACAAAAAGATTGCTATTCATTGTTATTTAATACTGGATACTTACAGTGAAAACCACATCAATGAGGGAGACACCAGACGGAAAACTCAAGTCTTTAAACTTCACTTGTACAGCGTAGGATGGGTAGTCAATATACCCAAGGTGCAGAATCACAAGATTACTACATTTCTAAAATATAGAAAATATAAGATAAAAGAGATCAAATGGATGTTTACTTGACTGACAGATTAATTGCTTGATTCACAGTAATTAATCACCCAACTGACACTTTTTAAAAGTTAGTTGATTGGATGATTGCTTGATTGACAGGTTGTACCTTGTCATTACACTTGACATGTCTTGTTCTATTAGAGGATGATGTTATCCAGTGGTAGCTGGTGTCTTTTACTCTACCACGAATGTCTACTCCAAGTTTAAAATTGACACTGAAGGAAGTTCCTATAAAGCAACCAAARAATGTGAGATTGAACATCATGATTGAGTTTTGTTATCCCTTGTTACTAAAAGGACTCTAATCATATAATTTTCCTAGCTGTTATATATTCAAGTTCTTTATATAGATATTKCACTTATCCCATTTCTCTCAACAACATTTATTTTTTTTCTACTGACCCCTTTAAAATAATGTACTAAGTTCCAACTTATTAGTAAAAAAACATCTAGGATTTAATTCACCCCGAGCCCTGAAAACAAATGCCTGTATTATCCATAGTACATAACTAACCAATAAGAACTGATTAACAAAAGGTTTTTTGTTGGTTTTAGTTGAGTCGTTAGCTTATGCTGAAGAGAATTGAAAAGCAATTGTTTAAGAATCCCTTAGAATCCCTTCTGTGAATTCAGTAACTACAATGGTCACGTCATTACTATTATTTGGCATTATTTTTTGTTTTAAAAGCCTACTTAATGACATGATCCCTGTGCTTTGTGTACCTTATTGCCTTGGTAATTAACTCAAACTTATGTCACCAGTTTGTTTGTGCAATCTGACATTTATTGTTTCCAAGTTATTCACTTTGCTACATTGGATTTATACTCTGTATATATTGTGGTGGTTATATACACCTACTTGCAATAATGTTGTCATAGAAAATAGAGCGGATTTCGTATGAGTGGGACACCGTTACCGCACGGTTACCACACAGTTACCGCACCTGGCCTGCAGAGTTTTAGTGAAGCAATGGGGCACTAGAATTTGGTTACAGTACGATTACGGTAACTGTACAGTACTGTCCGTTTCCCACTCATACGAAATCCACTCTAGGACATTTGTATTTTAGTAAAAAGGAATAAATTAAAAAGACAAAAGAAGATCACTGAGGCTGAACGCTTTCTTTTGTCTTGTTTTAATTTATTCCTTTTTACTAAATTCAAAATGTTCTATTTTCTATGAGAACGTTTCTGCAAGTAGTTGTAGATCAAAATTGCAAGCATAAAGATCAAACATGTTCTGAGTAAGTTAAGAGACCAATATAGTGACAATCAAAATTCAATTTCATCTGGTTTACAATACAGCATTTTAATTGGAAAAATGTTAATCTACAGTGTTACTTTTTAATCTTGTCAATAAAAACAATTTTTTATGATGTCTTGCATCTCAGTTAATAGTGCTATGTCGTTATGGTGTGATATATACCTTTCTTGGTACCATTGATGTTGAAGTGACCAAGTAGCCATATCTGTTGACTGAATGATGACAGTAAACCAGTATCAATCTTGAAGGGTCCTGTCTGAAATACAAAACAACTGTTACTATAGCAACTAGACATAGTAKTGGGATATAGACTATAAATAATCACATTACTGTATTAAAGCCRTCATGATTCCCAGAAAACATGCTGCTTTCCCACCAAATAAACATACATTGATTAAAAGGATACACTACTAAATACTAGTTCAATCAAGGGTATTATGCTGAGATATTTGCCTGTGGAAACTGGATGTTCCGAAAACAAGTTGCCTGAGATCTATTCTTCTATTGATTAACAACAAAAGAAG